GGTGATAAATCTGAACAGGAATTGAGAGACGCAATAGGTGGGGTTGAGGAGATGCCATGTAGCTGCCAGGGAGTCAAGATGCCAGGGCATCACTGGTAAGTCAAGGCCACGTGGTGATACACAAATTAATAGAAACGGGTTAGTAATTAAGAGAGAGCTAGCCAGTAAGAAGTCTAAGCCATTGGCCAAACGATTGTAACAGATATTAAGCCTCAGAGTGGTTATTTCATAAACAGTTTCCAGAGATCTGGTAGGTAGATAGAAACTGGGTCCAGTGGGCCTGAGATAGACGGAGAAAGTCTCCAATTGCCATGGTCCAGAGCCATGTTAGTCCAATAAGAGAGTCCTGGTGACCTGGATCATCATTAAGCTCCAATCTCCTGGGCAGTCTTTGGTCCCATGGTCACTGAGATTGTGCCAACCAGACTGGCCAGGGGTCTCTGTGAGAAGAAAGAAGCAGTGTGTCTGGGAATGGTGAATGTGACACCCACTCTGTAGACCAAGCTGGTCTTGAACTCACAGAGATACGCCTGCCTCTGACTTCTGAGTGCTGAGATTAAATGTGTGCACCATCACACCTGGTTGCACATCAAGTCTAAAGAGAAAGGATGACAGGGCTGGAGAGATGGTTCAGAGGTTAAGAGCACTGACTGCTCTTCCAGAGGTCCTGAGTTCAATTCCCAGCAACCACATGGTGGCTCACAACCATCCGTAATGAGATCTGGTGCCCTCTTCTGGCCTGCAGGGACACATGCAGACAGCACATTGTATACATAATAAATAAATCAATCTTAAAAAAAAAAAAAGAGTTAGTGGGACAAGCCTCAGCTAAGGCTGAACTTTCATAATTAATAAGGAGTCTCCATGTCGTTATTTGGTAGCTAGCTGCCGGACAAGAAAACTCATTACAGTGGCTTTTGGGATAAAAAGGCCTGCCACTGTTAGCTGTAAATGGCATGTTTAATGAAACTGATTCATCTCAAAAGCTACATTGTTATGGTTAGAGTTGCCAGATTGTGCCCAAATAAAACCATTCAACCCAATACTGTGAGTTGTCACCATAGCCTGCTAACAGGGAGCCAAAGGTACCATGCACTTAATCTCTCAGGAGTGGGAAGGGCAATGCACCTGTGGCTTCTTCATCACAAGGTTAACTTCTGGAAAATGCCACTAGTCTGGCATGGAGGTGTAGTCTGTGCAGCATAAGCTTAGAATACTTTGTATCCACACTGGTCTAATAGATATGAGGCCCTGTTTGCTACAGTGATACATTAGGCAGAAATGGAGACAATCCCAGAAGAGCAACCAGCAGTGAACTGAGACCACAAGCCTCATTCAAGACAGCCTCCTCAGAAAATGGGCCTCTATTTAATGTCCATTCCCCGACAGCTTAAAACATCATTATCTATAGCCATATGTTGTTTGAAGGGTTCTCTTTATTGACATTCTTGATTCCACATTTGGGAAGCTCTGCCACTGCCTCCTAAATAACGGGACTAAAGGCATGTACCTCCATGCCTAGCTACATTTGTGTGTGTGTGTGTGTGTGTGTGTGTGTGTGTGTGTGTGTGTGTGTGTGTTGCTGAATGCAAATACTTGCATCATACATGTGTTTGATTCCTCAGAGGTCAAAAGAGGGTGTGTGATTCCTTGGATCTGCAGTAACGGGTGGTTGTGAGACATTCAGTGGGTTCTGGGAACACTGTGTTCTCTGTAAGAGCAGTTAGTGCTCTTAACAACTGAGCCATTTATCTAACCCTTTTCTTCTTCTTTAAAAAAAATTACTTGTTGCTCTTGCAAAGAATCCAGAATCATGAGGAGTACTGGTAACTTGTTTGTAAGCTACCCAGACATGAGTATAGGCCATTCTCATAGGCAGGCCACGGACGGGGCTGGAATTGGAACTGTACTTCTCAGGCTTGCACTTTTGATTAAGATAAAATACTCGAAAGGATATTCGATAGGTAGGGCTTTAGTTGGGAGGGTGGTAGGGGAGGAAGGGAGCGAGAAGGGAACTGGGATTGTCATGTAATTCAATCTTGTTTGTAATTCAAATAAAAAAAAGATAAAATGCTCTTGCAGGTATGCTGGCTAGATTTGTGTTAACTTGACATAAACTATAGTCATTTGAGAGAAAATACCTCTATAAGATCTGTCTGTGGGCCATCCTAGAAGCATTTTCTTAATTAGTGATTGATGTGGGAGGGGTGGTCCTGAGTTCTGTAAGAAAGCAGGTTGAGTAAATCAGTAAGCAGCACCCTCCATGGCCTCAGCTCCTTCCTCCTGGTCCCTGCCCTCACAGTATTTTTGTTAGCTTGTTTTTGTGGTTGTTGTTGTTGGGTTTTTGTTTGTTTGTTTGTTTTGAGACAGGGTTTCTGTGTGTAGTCCTGGTACTGGCTGTCCTGGAACTCACTCTGTAGACCAAGATGTCTCAACATCTAAAGGCGTTTACCACCAGCGCCTGGCACCCTCACTGCTTTTGATAATGGACTGTTACACGGAACTACGAGTGAAATAAACCCTTTCCTCCCCCAGGTTGTTTTTGGTCACGGTGTTCCCAGGAAAAGAATCCTAACCAAGACAGCAGACTTTATATCGTTCTAGGCATCGGTAGAAGGTGACCAGACAAATGGACACCCGACACACCGACCGGTAGGGGTGTTGAAACAGGCAGTGCCCCGTGTAGCCAAGAGGCCTAAAGAGGTTCTGCGCCCTCGCAAAGGACCTTTTATTGCGGCGTCCTGCCTGCCTCCCGCTCCATTTGTGTAAAAGGACAACCCCGAGGGCACTGGGTATCTCTCAGACCAAAGGGCCACTCTATCTGCCGCAGGCATAACAGGAGACTATGAAAAGCCACATCCAAGTGCCGAAGTGTTGCCAGGGAGACGGCGGTACCACTCAGCGGTGCAGGCTGAGAGCCGCGCCTCCAGATTGGGGTCAAACGTGCACCGGCCACGCCCACTTTGAGTGAAGTGAAGCTCAGGAGCCCGCGTGTTCGTCACTTCCGCCCTAATGAGCCCACATGTGAGAGGCCGAGCGGCAGAGGGGCACATTTTATTTGTGTCACTTCCGGCGAGCCTAACAGTGTCCACGGCAACATGGCCTTGAACGGCGCTGGTGAGGGGTCGGGTTACTTGGGCCGTGGCGGTGGGGTGCGGGAGGCAGTTCTCTCCGCCCTGGCTCCATCTCCTTGTTGCTCTTTCCCCTAGAGGTTGACGATTTCGCCTGGGCGCCTCCGACAGAAGCAGAGACGAAGGTGCTGCAGGCGCGACGGGAGCGGCAGGATCGCATCTCTCGTCTCATGGGCGACTACCTGCTGCGTGGTTACCGCATGCTCGGCGACACGTGCGCGGACTGCGGGGTGAGGCGAGCGAGGAGGATGAGGCCTTGGCCTAGGCCGAACGTCCTTCCCACAGCTCTCTCTTCTGTGGACCCTGCCGCTCAGGCTCACCTGTGTCCCTGTGCTTTCTGGTTCCCAGACGATCCTCCTCCAAGATAAGCAGCGGAAAATCTACTGCGTGGCTTGTCAGGAGCTCGACTCAGATGTGGATAAAGACAATCCGGGTGAGGGGCCGAGTGTGCGCTTTGGGGAAAGGAACACGGGACGCGATAGTTAGCCAGGAACAGTAGACCTGGGAGGTGACACTGGAAGTATCTGCGTGCGGTGGGATTGAGGTGCCTCCTCGTTTTAGCCCTAGAGAGGAGGAAAAACACTAACCCTTTTGTTCCCGATACTGTGGATAGAGTCCGAGCTAAATCAAGCCATCCCCACATGCAGAGCGCGGGGGGGGGGGGGGGGGGGGGGGTGCTACTTTGGGCTTTACACATGCCAGGCAAGCGTTTTGCCACTGAAGTACACATCCCAGTCTTCATGCACAGACTTGATGGATGAATGAGGCCAGGGCAACTGCCAGGCAACTGGTACCTGAAGTGTAAACTCAGAGGTATATTGCTTGCCTAGCTTGTGTAAGGAGAAAGAAGAGTAGGGACTAGATGGATTGCCTTATGCGGAGAACACTGGAAGCCCAGGAGGGGCAATAAAGAGCAAATGGCTTAGGGCGGAGGGGCACCAAGCATCCTGACAATCCCCACCTATTTTCCTTTAGCTCTGAATCCACAAGCGGCCCTCTCTCAAGCTCGGGAACACCAGCTCGCCTCCACGACAGAGCCTGCCACAGGCTCTCGTCCCACACCCCAGCCCCCAGTACCCCGTCCAGAGCACTGTGAGGGAGCTGCAGCAGGGCTCAAGGCAGCCCAGGGGCCTCCCCTACCTGCTGCACCTCTAAATACAGATGTGGTGGCTTACACACAGACAGCCCTCCTGCAGAAGCTAACCTGGGCTTCAGCTGAGCTGGGCTCTAGCACCTCCTTGGAGACTAGTATTCAGCTGTGTGGGCTTATCCGGGCTTGTGCTGAGGCCCTGTGCAGCCTGAAGCAGCTTCAGCTCTGAGACCTCTACTCCAACCTCTGTTCCCCTGAGAAAAACCCTCTAGAAAAACAGCTGTTCCTCTGTGTGGTTTGTTCCTTTCTTGGTTCTGAGTGCATGCAAGCCCCAGCTCTATTCATGAATTTTCTTACTTTGGCATCTCACCTTTTCTACCTGAATGGTGCGTTTTTTTGCATTCAGGACAAAGGGGTAAATGGTAGAGGAATAAGTGACACTTTATTCCAAGGAAGTAACCTCAGCCTCTGATCCAATACCCCTTCCTCCACCTTCTGGACCTGAGTGACATCTGAAATTTCAGTCCCAGGCGGGCGTTGGTGGCGCATGCCTTTAATCCCAGCACTCGGGAGGCAGAGGCAGGGGGATCTCTGTGAGTTCGAGACCAGCCTGGTCTACAAGAGCGAGTGCCAGGATAGCCCCCAAAAGCTACACTGAGAAACCCTGTCTCAAAAAACCAAAAAAAAGAAAAAAAAAAAAGAAACTTCAGTCCTCTTGGTGCTTCCTTCCCGCCTGAGTGAGCATCTTGAGTCTATGATTCCATCTTTTTTGGGGGGGGGGGTCGAGACAGGGTTTCTCTGTGGTTTTGGAGGCTGTCCTGGAGCTAGCTCTTGTGGACCAGGATGGTCTGGAACTCAGAGAAGTCTATGATTCCATCTTAATGTCCACTGGGATGCTGACATGTTGAGGGGCGCCTAGCGAAGCGCTTTTAAGAGCCAGGCACAGTCTTAACTCCATTCTCTGGCCTCCTCATCCCCACACATTTAGAATCTTTCCCTTGGGAGAGGTATTGTGTAGAACACATTGTTGGGCAAAAAGAGCCGCCCAACACTCTTTCCTGACCCTTCGTCCTCCCCCCTTCTTTCTTTGGTGGGTTCCTGGGCCCCACCAACCATCGCCCAGTTAAGGGAAGCCCCACCCATATAGAAGGGGAGGAGCATAGGCGGAGTCCGAGGAGTCTGGGAAGGAACAAAGCGCGGCCTGCGGGCGGTGGCTGGGCTCCCTCCGGAGGCTGGGCCCCCCGGGAGCGGGGCCTGTGGGCCGCAGCGTGAGTGAAACATTGCAGGGGTCCAGGTGGCATCACAGTCCGTGTCGGCCGGGCCATGAACGGGCTGCCCTCAGCGGAGGCGCCAGGAGGCGCGGGCTGCGCTCTGGCCGGGCTCCCGCCGCTACCGCGCGGCCTCAGCGGCCTTCTTAACGCTAGTGGGGGCTCATGGAGGGAGCTGGAGCGCGTCTATAGCCAGCGCAGCCGCATCCACGACGAGCTGAGCCGTGCCGCCCGTGTTCCGGACGGTCCCCGTCACGCCACCGGCGCTGCCAACTCAGGCTCTGCAGCAGGCGCGCGCCGCCCGGTTAACCTGGACTCCGCACTAGCCGCGCTGCGCAAGGAGATGGTGAGTAGGTGGGCGCCCCGCCAGGGGTGGTGTGCTCTACGGAGCACAGGGCAGAGAGAAGTCTGGGACAGGTCTCCTTGGTCTCAGGCCGAGCAGGAGACATGGTTTCACAAGGCTTTAGGATAGCTGAGATAGTAGCAGTGTGTAGCAATTGTTGCATTTTAAAAACTTGCCTGATTTCATCCTGGTGGACAGTGTTACCCCATTGTATAAATGAGGGCCAGTGACTGGCTTAAAGGTTTTACAGTTTGCAAGTGTCATCTGTTGTCTCCAGAATTTTAACGGAAGAAGGGGCTGGAAGATTGGATAGGGTTGTGGCTCATGGCGGGG